GACTCTATTGAATAGCAGAACAGGTTTGAGAGGCTGAACAGCCTGTTCCTATTACTTATGGTTCTTATAATTCAGATTCTGCCATGAACTTCAGTTAATAAATCTGGAATCAAAAGCTGTTCACTGTTAGTGACCATGACACAGTTGATTATAGGAGTCGTCATTTCCACCCCTTGCACTATTAAATATTGCTTCACTACTGTAATTTTTGACTGTACCTCAGTTTTCAATGTCCCTTCAGAAAATTAAGGATGCTGTTTGTCGTTTGCAGCACCTGATGCTGATGAAAGCCTCATTTGAGGTTTGTGTTCAAAATCCAAACGGATTTGATTTATAACAACCATAAGTGTCCCTAACCCAGAACCGGGAGGCCTGGGTTCAAGTCCCACCTTCTGCAGAGGTGTTTAACATCTCAAAGGGTGATTTTTGAAAGAGGTTAAATTTTTTAAAAAAATTAATTTTACATATTGATATGTAAAAGTAACTCAGGTATGGTTTAAAATTTAATGCAATCAACCTGAAGGTTTGCTCTGACAGTATGAATTTATCTCTGCTTCCCACAGGCTGAGAATTTCTGCTTTCTGGGCTCCAGCAGCTGTGCAGTTCCACCCCAATGCCCCTGACACACTCGGGTGTCCTCCCCCCACCTCCCCTTTCAGTTCACAATGAGGGGTTGGTGACAATTTTCCACCCTCTCAATGGGGTCACAAGATTTGAGAAGCACTGATTTATCTCCAAGTGTAAACCTGTACAGATGTAAAGGGCATATGTTACAAATGTTGACTCTGCATGTGCTGAGCAGAGCCAAGCATGTCTTGATTCCCTGTGGCTGTGCTGTGTGAGAACAGGAGTTGGGTTGGGTTTAGGCACAGTGTGGAGAGGGTGAGGTGGGGGTTTTGGGTAAGAGAGTGGGGGATGGCGGAGGGACCTCAATACCACTTCACAAACAGAAGCTCACATTACATGTAACCTCCATCTGATTTCAGTATCCAAAGCTATTCACAAGGCTGAGGGAAGCACTGTGCAGACATGTTAATTTGAAAAAAAAACATTGTTTTCTTTACCAAATGCAATGTTTATGCAGACAGTTGGAGCTGCATTTCTGTACAGCTGTAGTCTCAGCATGAAGCAGATCACTACTACAGTTTTAAGACTGTGCTGCTTGAGTCATCTGCGGTGTAGTCAGAGGACATGTTTTGGTGCAAACTCAATTATTTATTTGTTTGTAGTTTGTGTTGAGCGTATTTTTGCCCAAAATCGCAAGCTTTCTGCTCGGAGTCACTGGCTATAAAATTGTTTTATACCACTTCCACTGTGTAATTCTGTTAAAGGGCTGAAAATTATTTGTCTCCACTCCTAAAGCTCTGTATAAATTTAATATTGTTGCACCTACTTTATGGTTATATGAAAAAGTGCAGATTTTTGTTTATAGTTTTGATATTTGAAGGAGCAGGACAACTACCAGCCAGTGTCACCCCACAACCTTTCTTTCCTCCTTCACCCACAACTCGACTGATTTTATTCTGATGAAGCTTGAGGTTGAATTTACTTCAGTTCTTGGGTCTCTCGGTTCTGACGTATCACCAGAATTGCATCAGTAAGAAACTTAAACTCCTTTGTTTTATCCTAAATGTGTTAACTGTGAATACTGTGTTCTATGAATACCTCCCAAAATCCTGCAACACAATGTACACGATTGTTATGCTGCGTTAAGATTGTTGCCTGTGAGTCATTGCACCAGGATGTGTTTAATTCTTTTGGAACAGAAGGTGAATTTTGTGCTGTAAGAAAGGTGTTGATGCTGTGAAGCAGGATGTTTCATGTTTTTGCATTCATGTTAACTTAGAGCATTGCCAACTGAAGTATAACACAATGCTCGTGCACTGCTTCAATTTTATAGTTCTTAGTCTGATCAAACTATTTATCTTGATTAAATTCAGAACTCGAGTGCTTTGAATGAAGGACCACCCTTGTCCTGTTTTCTTTGTGACTGCTGCATTGCCTGATGGTTTAGGACTAGCTCCCTTAGTTCTAACACTTTCCTGTAACTTATTGTATGGAAAGACTCCAAAGATTGAAGCATCTTTTGTTGTTCTTGACCCTAATAGTCCTAGCTGTTGCTGCCCACTGCTACGACTGGCTGTAGTAAAACCTGTGCTATTGCTGTTGCTTCTGTCTTCTGTTTGCCAAACTCTTGATAAGATTGATCTGACATTTTGATTTTTGCATGGATAAGCTTCTCTGTCTATTAACAGCATAATTCACTACACACAAACAATTTGTTATTTAAATTCTACATGTAGCTAGAATATACAGAAAATCTGGACTTGTAATAAAATAACTTGAAGTGATTAAGCTAATACCAGTGGATTCACGAGCCGGTGCCTGCAGTCCCTAATGCAAGGTATCTGCTTTTCATATGAAATTGAAAAAGTATAATGATCCAGGCTGGAGGAGTGCACTGTCATTCTAGTCCCACTACTGCATGAATTGCAACATGAAAATATTTTTCCAGCAACTAAGATGACCAATTAAATATCTTTGTCTGTATCAGGTAAAAGGTCTATCAACCAGATTCCTTAAAGCCATGGGATTATTATCAAAACAAAATTAAGATGCAATAACTGGCTAACATAACTGGATAGTAATGTAGAAATATAAATGCTTATTCCCCAAACATGTGCATACTCCATTACAAAATGAAAACTGGTTTCTTTGCAGAGATTGGTTTTCTGAAAAGAGAACCACTCCGGCCATTGGCTGTTCTTGAAGGCAAAAGGGTAAAGCACTCGAAGTTCTGGTATCTGTTCTAACAAGTATGGTCAAGTCCATAAACATGAACAGTTGTCTGTGTAATGTTGCAGATACAAATTACTAAGGGAGTACAACCTTGGTTTTTTTTTTTTTAAACCTCAAAACCAGTTTCACCCTGCACTGAGATAGCAAAAACTGCCGATGCTGGAGTCAGAGATACCACTTTCTTTGCTGAAGAAGGGTCCTGACCTGAAACGTCAGCTTTCCTGTTCCTCTGATACTGCCTGGCCTGCTGTGTTCCTCCAGCTCCACACTTTTTTTGTTATCTTTTACCCTGCACTGTTGTGGAGGTTTTCTTTTCAGAAATGGAAGAGATCAGATGGCAAGCTTGTTCATCGCAAGCTTTCCTTCAATTCATCTGGTTTCTAGCAGATGAAACCAGAATCTCTCCAAGCCAGTCACAATTTTTTTTAAATGTCTCAACTGTAGCCAAAGCAATTAACTATCACCAAATATATGATTGCAAGAAAGCTGTTCTTAAAAGATTCTCCAGTGTGAACTTTAAGTTGCCTCTTTAAAAGAAATGACTCCAGGATTATCCACAAAACTTTAAATGTATTTTTCCACACATCCTTTAAAACCCAAGTCCTCAAAATTATTTAATATGAAACATCTTTGCAGTTAGTCTGGGAGCGTTTAAGTGAAGTTCTGAGCATCAAGTTGTTTCTTCACTCATTCTGAGCTGCAGTAATGCAACTAAAATTAATTGCACCTCATTTTTTAAGTTAAACATGGTAGGCATAAGCCAATTTTTGCTAAATAAGGGTAAGTAGACAATGAAATGACCTTGTGTAGATAGAGTACGAGACCTTGTTGGAAAGCCAACCTAATTTTCTGATTTTAGTTTGAAAAATTGGATATTTTATATTGTTTACAACCAGCGTGGAGAATTATTTCAAATGCCCTTATCTCTAAGATTTGAAACGGAATATCTACAATGCTCTTTATTTAAGAAGGGACATTATATTTAGAGTTAAGGATCCATATTAAGCATGGAAAGAGCAGGTTCCTTCCAGTGACCAGGATAGAAGTCAAATTAAATTTACACCACAGGATTCAGACTGACACTTTAGATTCTTAACCCAGAGTCTGTCCACAATGTTCCATCTAGCTCAATGCTTTCCCAAGAAATCCATTAGGGAGTTTGAAATTTGTTTTCCCAAAGAGTGGAGAGCGTGTGGAACCTGTTACTCAAATGGTGTTTTCTGTATCGTGTATCCTGTGTAATCAAAACTCATCCTAATAATCTTCTTCAAATTTTATTGCCGAAATTATGTTGCTGCTTATAAAATGACCTAATGTTCCTAACTGCAGCATTGATATTCACCTTGGCTTAACACTTCCATGACCTGCTCTGAAACCTTGTGTAAGCCTTGCAACTCGCTATATCCCTCAAATTCTGGCCACTTACACAGCTCCCAATTCATATTGCTCCACTACTGATGGCCCTTCAGTTGCCTAGGCTTTAATTGTGATTCCCCCTAGTAATCTTCTCTGGCTTGCAGTCTCTCCTCCTTTACAATACTTGTTAAAATCTACTAATTTGATCATGCTTTTGGCCATCCATTCTAATGTTCCCCCTTGCATGGCTTTACATAAATTTTGTTTGCTGCCACTCCTTTAATTAAGATAATTTGCTGTGTTAAATGTACTAAATAGAAGCAAGTTACTTTGGTTCGCCTGAAGAAAATCATCCACTTACACAGCGTGAGATATTTGACAGATCATTGTGTTCAGTTTTCAAAATGATGTACTTCCCTTTTATGAATGTGAAATGTTAAACAGAACTTCTAAAGTTCATGCCTGAACTAGTCTTGCCATCTGTACTTAGATTATAAATGAAGCTGAGCCTCTCTCACTTCCTCCCTTGAAGGTGTATTCCCAATCTTCGCTATACTTTGAAAAGGCTTAAAATGGAGGTTATGAGCTTACAAAAGAAATTGGAGAGTCTTCCACTAGACTGACGAGTGGTGAGAGGGCTTTGATCAGAACAGGCCTCGGACACTGAAAGCCTTGGCTGGAGGAGGTATTCAGTGGTATTTGTGGAACAAAACCTGCCAATTTTTTAAAAAATTGGCTTGATGAATAGAAGGGGAAAATTCCAGTTTGCTTGATCTTAAAACCATACTTCTTGAAAATGTGATGCAAGAACTAAGGTGCAAACTTGTCTTTTTTTTTTGTTACAGGGAGGAAGTTCAGGAGAATTGTGTTCGTTGGAAGAAGAAATTCAGTTTCATTTGCAAGATGAGTGCAAATCCAGCAACTGGTGTACTGGATCCTTGTATCTGCAGAGTATCTGTACGTAAGGTGAGTATCTCTGAGCTAAAGACTTCTATCTTATTCCACAATGCAAAACACATGTAAGAGACTTTGTTTTACTGAGTTTGGTGTGTATTTTGTGAAATGACATCACCACCATATATTGCACCACCACCATATATTGCACAGTGTTCAACACTAGTGAACTTCATGTGAAGGAGATGCTTTGTAGAAATAGTTTTCTTTACCTGAACAGATTCATTTTCTTTTTGGATGTTTAATCTATCCAGATGTAACTTTTTTATTCCCAAACTTTATATGAGAACTTTGGACATCCTGTGTATTCATAGAGGATCTTAAAATATGGGCAGTTTCTTGTTGTGCATTGTAATCACTAAGAACTAGACTTCATCGTGGTCCAAATTTTACTCTAATGATAGGTTAAAACTATGGTAAGGGCATTTTAAGTATTTTTTTGATTTGATTGAATAATAAGTGAGTGCCACTGTTCAGTCTCTTTGGCCTGGGGTGGGAGAGGTTTGGGATGGTGCAGAAGAGAGAAAATTGCAATTGTGGAGTCTCATTCCCTCAATTATTGCTGAAGATTTTAATTTTTATATTAAAATGAAAGTAATTTTTGTTTCCCTTTTTTGTCTCATCCCATCTGGATATCCCAACCTTAATTTGGCTTGCAATGCAATTGTTTCCTGTTCTTCACCTTTCTAATTTGTAACCTATCAGTGACGATTCTTTAATCTGGTTGAAGAATCTCCTGGACCATACCTGCTCAGATTCCACATTTACCCTGAGAGGACATAGCACTTGAAATACAGGATCAATAGAAATTCCTACAGACAAGCCGGAGTAGTATCTCTGGGCAACTGTATGTGAGGTGAATGACCGGGTTTACAAATGGCCCAGATAGTTATCTCAGAAAAGCAATTAAAAGCAGAAATTGCTGGAGAAACTCGGCAAGTCTGCCAGCATCTGTGGAGAGAAAGCAGAGTTAAAATTTCAATTTCAAAGACCCTACTTCAGAACTGAGCTCAAAAGTGGTGTTTTAAGTGTCTGAAATGGATTGATGGTCCCTGACATCTAAGGCTTCTGTTTTAAATGGCTGATCCAACCTGTTATTTTTCGTTAGCTGTTTTCTCAATACACAACTATTGTTTCTCTCCATCTCCCCTAATTTATTTCCCTATTTGCAATTTGTGGTGAATTTTGCAGTTAAAAAAAGTGAAGAAAAGAATATTACGGTATTGTTTTTTTGTAAGTGAAAAGACCTGTGCATCACATTCCACTTATTGCAACATTGTGATCAGAGGCAAGTATTACATATGGCTTTGTCAAGTTTTTGACTGTATTTTTGTATTCCTTTTAAACACTTGGTGCTCAGAATTACCCTTCTGTTCATCATGGTTCATACATCTTATTTTGATGAAAGAATCAGTTAACGTTTAATAGTTACACCAGTCCTTTTTCCAATCAAAACTTTTCATCTAGTAACATTGAAATATTTTGCAAATTTATATTTTCCTGTTTGAAGTATTACACCTGCAACCAAATCTTAACAAGGAGGGTACTCCTGGAGGTCCTTAAAATACCTGGCAGGGCAAATAGTAAATTTTATTGTCCCTTCTAAGTCTCTCAAAATGCTCAGAACAGAGTTTTTGTAACTTTTTGCTCCTTCCTGTTTTATTGCAGGAACTGAAAGGTGGAAAGACGTTTTCTAAGGTAGGATCACATATCTTTATACAGACATTAACGTGTGAACCATAGACTGAGGGCACGAGTTATGGGGTTCACAGTCAGGTTGTCGATATTTTGAGTTAGATGAGGCATTTGCTGAGAAGTCACTTTACAGAGGGAATTGATCCGGCGAGCCAACTTCCACCCATTTGAGGTAGATGGTAGCATAGTGGTAATATTGCTGGTCTAGTTATCGAGAGGCCCGGGTTAATGCTACAGGAACATGGGTTCAAATCCCACCACAGTAACTGGTGGACTAGTTGGCAATGATGATGACGACTGTACAACTATGACTGATCATTGCAAAACCCATCTGATTCACTCATGTCCTTTTTAAGATACACAATTGGCTATTCTTTTTTTTAACCTGGTCTGGCCTACATTTGACTCCAGATCCAATTCAACATCAACACACTATTGTCTCTCAACTGCCCTCTGAAATGGCCAAGTAAGCCCCCTAGTTCAAGGGCTGTTAGGGATGGGCAACTAATGTCAGTCTTGCCAGTGATACCCACATCCAGTGGAAGAATGAAAGAATAAACCATAATTTCAGCCCAAATGTTTCCTGACTGGAGAATTTAACTCTACCCAAACTGGAGCAGAACCCTTGATTCAGGTGGCAAAATCCTTGCTTCTGCTGGGTGTTAGTGGCTTTAGGACCTCCCCATCCAGAACTCGATAATCTCACGTGATGTTACAATGCAGCAATAAGTAAACACCTGGACTTGCTGCCCTTTGGGTTATGTTAAAAACAAGTTTTCCCTGCATTTCCATTGTTTCTGGTGGGTATGAAATATGCCAGAAAATAGCTGGGAGTTCTCTGGTTACTCTGGCCAGTGTTCCTTAGTTAACCAACACTGCTTCAAAAAAGATAACTTGGGTAATTTGTCCCATACTGTTTATAGGCTATAACTACAGAGTTTTTGTGCCCATACATTCAAAGTAGTAATATGTGAAGTGCTGAGAGAGATTTATTCAGAAATATGATGACCATCTATAATAAATGCTTCTCTGTTTCCTTGCCATAATGATGTAAAGGGTGTGATTAAGAAACAGTGTATTGGGAAAATTGCACATGTGCCAGGAATTAGAGCTCATAGCCCTTTGTTCCTTTTAGCACTACCTACAGCAAAGCATGATGTATCTGCATGCTTTTTTTTTGTAAAGGGCTATATTAGTGACCTAATAAAATAACACTTTTTCCAGTGATTATTGAACGTTATCCATTGTCCCTGAAAGGAAAAATTGCATGGTTCCCTGATCAATGCAGTTTTCAACAGTGACACAATTTTTCCAAAAGTCAACTGTTTGTCGGCAGTTGCAGTTGCCATGGTGAAGCTGCAAGATAGCAGTCAATGTGAATACGCATTTTACTTTCAGTATGACCTCCAAATGGTTATTGGAATTGCACCAAATTTGTCATTAGACTATTTTTAAGGTTTGTGCTGTTCATATAGTGAATACTCACCCATAGACAAATTGTTTCCAAGGCCTGATATGTTTCTCAATATTTGAAAAGTAATGATTAGACTGAGCAATGTGTTAACTGGTCAGTGGAATAACACCGGCTGTGTTAATTGTGTGTTGTGCTGCCCCTGAAGGAGAGGAGGGTTTTTTGTACACGTTATATTGTTTCCATGCTGAGCAAGCATTTTTCTCACCATTGCTCTGGTATTTTAAGAGGTTCTATAATTTGAGGTTCTTTGCAGTCTGACTGTATCTTCATTAACGTAAGATTTCATGGACCTGCTTGTTGGTTTTTCCCCTCCTCACATGTTGCCTTCCCTTAGTCTTTTTTTAAATAGCTGTTTTTAACAAAGAAACATACTAAATCCTGTTAGGTGCTGTTCCTCTTCCTGTTTGACTTTCAGGGTCGACTAGTCTGAAACACTGACTACTTCAACTGCTCGGATTCAATGTGTTTTGCTTCTCTCAAGACTGGCAATGAGAAATGTGTTGTATCTGATGTCTTGGCTCAAAAGTTGGATTGAGACATCTCTTGCATATATAAATTTATGGTAAAGTGAACCATTTGTCAACATTTTATTTCCATGAGCACCTAAGGATTCAGATAAAGAGCCAGATCTTGAACAATGCTTAAGTAACATTTTGAGTACTAGTTTACACCTGATCAAAAGTTTAGTTTCACAGGTGTCTCACTCGGGTATCAAAAGGGATTATTTTAGAGAAATATAACATTGTTCTGTTTTACCAGTTTACGTTAATTCAGAATAGTTCTGGATTTTATTACATTGAATGTATTAAGCAGCAGAAAATCTAATCTGTTTCCACCAGCCTAAAATCATTTTAACACCTTTCCGTTCTACTTCCCCCTCCATTCCCAACTGACTTGATCCTTTCCTTGCTCTCCATGATCAAGTATTTATAATCTATGCTATTTTTGTTTATCAGCTAAGACTTGTCCTCCAATACTTCCTAGTTAGCCAATAGCAAGCACAGTTCGAAGCATTTTCAATGTCTTTGCATCCCACTTTGGGAATAAGATCACTTGACATCTCCATTGTGAACAAATAAAGCCTACCTTGTTGTCCAGTTCCATGCTCTTGGCATATTTTTGCATTCAACTCTCAAAATAATCTGACACCAAAAGTTGCAAGGTTTTCTCCCAGTATTTGTATGCCAGCTTTGAACAGTTACAAGAGTTAGATATAAAGCACGGAATCAGACTCTTCAGAACAACTCATTCATGCTGAACAGGTATCCTATATAAATCTAGTCCTATTTGTCAGCATTTGGCCCATATTCCTCTAAACCTTTCCTATTCATATGCCCATTTTAAATGTTGTACCAACCACCACCACTTCCTCTGGCAGCTTGTTCCATACGTGTACCACTGTCTGTGTGGAAAATGTTGCCCCTTGGATCCCTTTTAAATCTTTCTCCTCTCTCCTAAAACCTGTACTGTTTAGTTCTGCACTCCCGACCCTGGGCAAAAGACCTCAGCTATTCACCCTATCCCTGCCCCTCGTGATTTTATAAACTTCTATAAGGTCACCCCTCAGCCTCTGACATTCCAGGGAAAATAGCCCCAGCCTATTCAGCCTCTCCCTGTAGCTCAAACCCTCCAACCCTGGCAACATATTTGTAAATCTTTTCTGAACCGTTTCAAGTTTCACTTGTTGAATCTTTTTCCACTGGATTGTGCATGTTTCTTTTTAAATGACTATAGAGGCTGCCACCTCTTTCTATGGTAAGATGGAAATAATTGGGCAGCCTGTGGATAATGTGGCTTCTACTTTAAATGTCAAGAACCCACTTGACTTTGAGACCTTTGCCAATATCTGGACATTGATCAAAGTATTGAGCCAACTCTGAGGCATGCAGAACTGATGCTTGTCATTCTTATGCATGTGATGCTTTTGTGTTTCTGTCTAGCCCTAATTACGAGAAGGGAATCTGTTACAAGGAGTGAAAATTTGATGTAGTCTGTTATGCAGTTGATAGATCAATTCTTGTAAATGGCAAGAAAAATGCTAACATCTTGTACTTGTTTGAGAAAATTTGCAAAAGCTTAAATTATCCTTTACATTGTGAGTTAGATGAAGTTTGATTTTTCTAAAACTGTATTTACAGCTCTCCTAGGATAGGCTCAGAAGAGACTAGAACAATGAGTCTCTTGTTTCATTCTGAAATGACCTCCTCCTAAACAGTGTTGCATAGTCTAAATTTGTCAATTTAATCAGCATCGTTAAGAGTATGCAATTAAACTCCTTCGGTGGCAAACACCTGCTAGTATATCTGGGATAACCCATTAACTGGCACGTCTTGCCTTAGGACATTTTACAGATGGTGAGTCTTTTAATAGTAATGAGAACAGAATCTCCTCTGTGGATACTCTTTCTATTACTTAGGGTAATATGGCAGCAGCATATGCAATGCAGACCAAGTAGTTGCTTGTTGTGTACCACAGCAATAAAGAGCTAGAATGGGAAATCTTTTTGACTTGCTGTATTACTGGTCAAATAACTATTGAGGAACCTGTTTATATAGAGAAATTTATTTTTGGTGACTTTTGAACATAAAGGCCTCTGAATCGCGTACAATTGTAAACATATATTTCTTTTAGAAAGAAAAGATTATCAATTTCCAAATTTTTGCTGTTAATATTCCCATAACTAGAGTTTTACTGTAATACCCTTCACACTGAACAGTAGGGTAGCAGTGGGAAGGGGCTTAGTAAATTTCTAACAATCCGGACTACTTGTGTGGAAAAAATGTTTGATAAACAATTCTTTTTGCAAATTTATATATTTTATATATCTGGAATAACATTAGGAGGGAGAGCAGCAGTGAGCTGTGTATCTGGTGGCCTTCTATTCCACTTTATCTTGCTGCAAATATCCATAATGTGACTTTAGTTTGTGGGGGTGAGAGAGTGAAGAATGAACAGATGATTGGCAGCTCGATTTTAAAAACAAAAAATTGTTAGTCAAAATGACTTGCTTTGACCCACCTATTTGCCTGTGTTGCTCCGCACTGTGCAGGTCAATTTAATAAGTGTTTATGGATATGTGAAAAGTAATTTCCATCTTTAAAAGACTGACACACCCTGACTGCATACAAAACCAAAGTCTGAACTTTGTGAATGCACAACTGTTCTTTCCTACTGGAAAATCTAGCTGATTTACTTTAGTGCAAGACACCAGCCAAGCAGAACCGGTCACTGCATTGATTGGCTAAGGCTGTGGGAGGCCACCTTTTTCAGTGACCTTTCTTTTGACATTTTATTCAGGGTTTTTCAAAATATCTTATGAAAACTCACGTTTATATTTTAAAATATTTTGGTATCTCTTCAGTATTTATTCATGTGTGCTATTCAAATCCACTTGATTGAATTTAATGCAGTACTGCTTTTTTTTGGACTTTTGTTAGTTGTTGGAACAGTTTCATAGCCATAATAATCACATTTCACTTTTTTATGCATGCAAACAGTATAATAAATCTTTCATTTGGATACAGATGAAGCTGTGGCAGGAATATGCAGCAGGGCAAATTGTGCTGATGGAGTAGATGTGTCTGAGTGTCTCTAACTATTTATCTTGCCAAAAATAAGTAACAACCTGCATTTGCAAAGTGCTTGATCATAGTAAAGCATTACCAGGATGTTCCTCAGTGTTATCAAACAAAATTAGACAAAGCCACATGAGGCATCCGTGCAGATGACCAAATCACAGGCAAATTTTAAGGAATGCCTTGAAGGAAGTAGAGAGATGGTGAAGCATAGGGAGGGAATTCCAGAGTCTAAGACAAAGGGAATTGAAGGCTTAGGGATTAGTAGTTAAAAGTGGGAATGGTCGAGTCCTAAATTAGCACGTAAAAACATTTGGAGTTTGGAGGGTTGAAGGAGGTTACAAAGCTAGGGAGAAAGGGATCGGGTCATGGCAGGAATCTGAAAAGAAGAATGAAAACTTTTAAAAACGTTGCTTGGCTCCTGCCCTTGTAGATGACTGAGCACCGGTGACAGATAGGCAGAACTTGAGCAAGATAAGACAAAGCTTGGACGAGCACATATTTATGGGAGGGTAGGACGAGAAGCCAGCCGCACGTGTTGCACTAGTTAAATCTAGAGGTAACAAACATGAATATTTCAGTTCATCTGTTGAAACTGAAAATAGATAGTCTTAGAGGTTGCATAAAGCTTGGATCAAAAGCTTATCTTTAGGTCAAGTACGACACTAAGATTGCAAACAGTCTGGTATGGTCTCATTGTTGCCAGAGATGGGGATAGAATCGATAATTGGGAATGGAGTCTGGAGGGGATTTTTAAATCAGTAGTTTCAATCACCCCAATATTTGCCTGGAGGAAGTTTCTTCATAGATAAGTAGTTTAGTAACTTGGCAACAATGGAGGTGCTGTGTGTTGCCAGTGTACATGTGGACATCCACATATGAGTGGATGTGGATGAGAACTAGAAGGTGGTCAGAGATGGGCCCCTGGGGCACACCAGAGGTATTGATATTGGAACAGGAAGAGAAGCCTTTGCAAATGACTTTCTGGCTGTACCAAAGAAAGACTGGACCGGGAATGAAGTAGGCAACCTTTCTTGAAATTTGAATTTTTGCTTTTGTTTTCTCCACCACCATTGCTAACACACACAAACTACTAACCAGCTTACATTTTCTGACCTCAACCTAGCGGAGTTTTTGCAGACAGGTTGAAAAGGATGAGGAAGAATGGTTTACATTTGACAGTCATTTAGGATATCACTTCTGAATTTGAGAGCCATTCTGGTTTTCTGGCAGGGACTGAAACCTGAATGGACACATTCAAATTGCCCTGAAGCAATGGTTGAATTCAGTAAGCGCCAACACTCTGGAGGACTGGATGTCAGCCATGAAGTGTGACAGTGTAGACAGTGTAAGAATTGAGGTGCTGGTGTGAGAGAGCTGACTAATCAGTGTACACTTGACAACTGACATGTTCCATTTGTATGCTGACAGTATCCAGTTGGAATCGTGGGTTTATCATTAAACTTGCACTGTCTCCCACTTTCAACAAATTTGAGTTTGCAATTGCCATGATCTCCACTTTCGCGTTTGTGTTTGAACTGATTGTCTGCGGTTTTTGAAAGTTGAATGTCTTTCCTTAGATTTGATAGTTCCAAACTGTTTATGGTTCAGTTCGGGGAACTTGCAGCTTAGTGTGGTTGTTTTTCTGGGAAAACTTTAGACTGCAGCTTTAAAATCTGCAGTTTTATATTTCACCAAAGTGTAACTGTGTTGTTTAGTTTACAAGTTTTAACTGCTGGAAGTGATTAGAGATCATCTTTCTCTATCATGCTTAACCGGTCCCTGAAAATTTAGTTTACATTATGGGTTTATAGCCACTGCCACGTAAGCATTGTTTCAGTGTACTGTCTGGGAAAGTCATGCATGATTATGCAGCTGTCTGTCCAGTGTGATTTCCTTGGTGATGCAGTTTCCTTTTTTATTCGAAGAGGCCTGGGGAGGCGATTGTAAAGTTCTGTTTCAGTCGTTTCTTTTAAATTGTATTAGCTGTCCAATAATAACTATATAAATTTGTTTACAGATGTGAATTTCAATATAAGGAGAGCATGTATGTGGCTTTCTCTAGAGTTATTTATTTTTGAAAAATTTTAAAGCTATGTAATGCAGATCCAATGGGATATTTTAGATTTAGAACATCTTAACGAGCTAATGTATAAATATGAGGATATGTGAAATGAATGTCATCGGACTTTGCTCTTTTCTCCCCACAGCCACTAGCCAGAACTTTTGTGGAAATTTTCTTGGTTTTATTTTAAATTTTAATTAAAAAAATTTTTTTTACACCAACAACCAGCTTGGATTTGCTGACCTCAATCTAGCGGAGTTTGCTGGTTCAGGCTCTACTGCACGCTGCTGTTTATTGGAGGGTTATGACACAAAGAATACACGACAGGACAACTCTATCCTTAAGGTAACATTGGGGACAATAGAAGGAGGGGATACTGAGGTGTAAAATGTCACTTTTAAAAATAGTGAAGCTAAACTAAGCATTAAGGCTTCTTTGCGTGGACAGTTAAAATCTCATGGGTTATTCAAAAAAGAACAAGTGAATTCTTCTGAGATAACAAGGTGTAGAGCTGGATGAACACAGCGGGCCAAGCAGCATCAGAGGAGCAGGAAAGCTG